GAAGAGATGAGAGAGGGGGAGAAGAATAATTAAAAGAAAGATAGAGATTAAAGAGAGAGAAAAGTAATTAACCCACTAAGATGAACAAGATGTCGGAAAAAAAAAAATAAGTCACCACCGACTAGGAAGAAGAAGATGTCGGAAAATAATATAACTTAAAAGAGAAGAGTACCACCACCGGGAGGGAGATAATTGGTTTGGTGGTCACCGGCCATGAAGAAGAAGAATGGAAGATAGAGAACCACCGGGGGAGGGAGAAAATTCGGGTAGTGTTCATAGAAAAGATAGAAAAAAAAAAAAGATATTAAGAGTACCACCACCGGGGGGGAGAAAATTGGGTGGTCACCGCCATGGAGAAGAATGACGGCTAGATTAAAAAACCTGGTGCTCTGATACCATAAAGGAAGAATAGAATCGAAGAGAAATAATAATACGTAATATAATAGAAACCCTCATTATGCATGGGTTGATTACATGAAATATATATAGAGAAATATTGCAAGGTAATAGAGTTTGACTAGGTAACTGAATCATAACTAATCTAGGTAACTGAATCATAATAGAATCCTAATATCCTATATTATCTAATAATATAATATACTCTAACATTGAGCTAGCCATATTCATCGTGGGCCCGGCCTGAATCGCCACTAGGCAGTCCACGACTACCGAGCAATTCCTCAAAATCGTCGATAAAAAAGTTCTGGCCAGTCGGTAAACGATCACCGAAGTCGAACCAACGGAGTGTAGGGTGTGCTTGTCGGTTTATGAAGAAGGAAACGAAGTTCGGAAATTGAAGTGTAAGCACACATTCCATAAGGACTGCCTTGACACGTGGCTGCAGCAGCACCACTCCGCCACCTGCTCGTTGTGCCGCCGGGTGACATACAAGAATATATGGTATGTGTATATAAGTGTCAATCTTATATTATAAAAAAATAATTGAACGTATAGCTTCCCAGTACTTCTTGGCCCCTACAACGGTTTGTTCAGTACGTTTATACTATGCTACATCGGGTGAAATACACTGGGTAGATCTTTACTATTCATATACACATAAACACACACATACCTACATTGGTGTGTGTAGATCAACGGCAAAAAATCACCCAGTATAACCTCACCGAAATAACCTTGTTCAGTATTAGACCCGATAAATTTTACCTAATTCTTAACTCAAATTTGTCGTACAATTTATACAGATGAAAAAAAAATCTAGCAAGTAGACTACTTGCCAAGGAAAAAAAAAGAAGAAAAATTCAAGTAGTGGAATTTATTGTGAGCACATTTAGTACATATAGTCTTGCAGAAAATTATTTGACTTTGAAATATTCAAATTTATGAATAGAAATGACAATGATAGTTTATCCGGTTGACCTAGCCATCTCTTGTCTCATTCTGTTTTTTTTTTCTCTTCTTTTTTCACAATAAATTTCTTTTTTTTCGGAAGAAGTATGCCGCCAATTATATAGGTGCATTGACACATGTATATTTATTTATTGAACACAATTAATATTTAGAGTATATGGATGGTTGGAAATTTGAAATTATGAGTGAACATTAGGGAGTTTTTTCTTAATTACGAATAGGTGGCCGGTGGGGGTGTTTTTCATTATTTAGCCTAAGTTGTGGGGGTTTTCGTAATTTACTCTTATTTTGTTTTAGTAATTCAATATATATAACACAAGGAAAATACAAATAGAAAAAACATTTACGTTATATGACTAACCAATGGAATATCCTTTGATTTATTTTATAATTATTAGGCTAATAATTACAACAAAAACTGCAATTTCTCAACATGTAAAGATTAGAAAAGAGATTAAATAACAAGTTTATAAATAACACATGCTTAATTATGAACTAATCACAAGTTTAATTAACAAATAAATATATATTAGCCAACATTACCTAATGTATATCCATCATATATACTTCCCAACCTTATAAAAATTAGGTGATTACAAATAAGCCCATCAATAGGTACTTATTCAAGAGATCCAGACAAAAATCTCCTTTACTAATAAATCCACATATGGTCCAAATTTTTGTAAAGGACTAAAATAACCCCTCATACTTTAATATGTTCCAATTTCATCATTAACTTAATTTAACCTCAATTTTACCCCAAATTTCACAAAAAATTCAAATTTGACCCAAAACTTTTTTTTTTCAAGATTTTTTTTTCAAAAACTTTTTTTTTCCGCCGGATTCCAGCGTTGACTTTTCAATTTTTTTTTTCTTCCGGATTTTTTCGTCGGTTTTCGGCGTTGACTTTTTTTTTTTTTCTTTCTTTCTGTAACTTTTTTTTTCGTTTAAACAACAATATTGCTGTGATTGACAGTAATATTAACTAAATTACAGTTTAACACAGTAATATTGCTATATTAATCTCTAACACAGTAATATTAACACAACAAAACTCATTATTATTGTGTAATACAATAATATTACTATGTTGACCGTTCAACAAATGTAAACATAATAAAAAGTCAAAAGAATTAATATTACTGTGAGTGACAGTAATATTACTATAACAACAGTAATATTACCGTCAACCACAATAATATTACAACAATAGACATTAATATTATTACGTTACTCCGTGAATAACTCAAACAAAAAAAAATCCAAACAAAATAATAATATTGATGTGGTTGACAGCAATATTACTATAACAACAGTAATATTGCCGTCAACCACAGTAATATTATTTTGTTTACAGTAATATTACAATAATAGACAGTAATATTATTACGTTACTCTGTGAATAACTCAAACAAAACAAAAAACCTAAAAAAATAATAATATTGATGTTGTTGACAGTAATATAATTACATTGACTTGTCAACAAATCAAACAAAATAAAAAGAATAACAATAAATAAAAAAATAATAATATTACGTTAATTTACTGTCAACGGCAGAACAATTACATAAATGTATTGTCAACGGCAGTACAATTACGTTAATTAACTTTCATTGACAGTATAATTACGTTAATTTACTATCAGTGACAGCACAATTACGGTCAACGTTTAGCGGCGGACGTAAAAAAAAAAAAAAAAAAAAAAAAAACTTAAAAAAACACTAAAAAAAATCAACGCCGGAAACTGGCGCAAAAATCCGAAAGAAAGAAAAAAAAATTGAAAAGTCAACGCCGGAGAATCTGGCGGCAATTTTTTTTTTTTGAAAAAAAAAAGTTTTTAGTCAAAATTGAATAATATGTGAAATTTGGAGTCAAATTGAGAATAAATTAAGTTAAGGATGAAATTGGAGCATATTAAAGTATGCTCCAAAAAAAAGTCAAAATTTAATTGTTGTGGTCAAAATTGATTAAATTGGGTTTACAATTAAGAATTGAGTATAAATGGTTGAGGGTAATATTGGAATATACATGAATGTTTCATTTATTTATAATAAATATTAAAGGAATGAACTTATTGGTGAAAGAGATATAGCCCATAAACCTAGAATAATAAAAATGCTTGGTTGGTGACCTATGCACAAACACCTCTATAAAAAATAGGTCGATTATTCTCATCAACGTTACTAGTATAATTTCTCTCTTCTCCCAAAAAAAAAAAGAAAAAAAAAAAAACAACTCTCTTGAAATCTTTTCATAATGCCGACCATGATTCGTTGCCGAAAGATATCGGCCTGCAGAACAATCGAAACTAAGTTCATCCCGACCCCTAACTCCGAAGAAGATGAATCGAATATCGAAATCAACTTCACTTTTTCTTTGACCGTGATATATTTCCGGTGGGCCGTACGCGAAGGAGAGGAGCCACGATTTTTGGGACGATCGATCGAACTCGGAAAAGAATACCACCTCCGCTTGAGTAGCCGCCAACTGTCGTGCGATTTCGAAGAAGCGCGGATACTCGCGGAGGAAGAACCCAAAGCGATGCCGATGAGTTCCGCACGCAGTAAGCAGATCGCGGGGTACGCTTTGGGCAAAGCATGCACGTGGATAGCGACGGAGGCCGCGGCCGATCGGACGGCCCACGGTGTTTTGAATCTTCTCGAGGCCACATTGTATCATGTCCATCTCGATGGAATTGTTAGTAATTACGACGATTACTCTCCTCTTCGTATGGTTCCAACTGCCGATTCGTCGATCGCGGAGCTCAAAGAGGTGGGGCCCGCCGATTCTCGCCAGAGTATGCTTCTTGCGGATCGTTGCTCGGTTTGCTTGGATGACTACTTTTCCGGCGGCGGCGGCGAAGAAGTGTTATTATTATCGATGCCGTGTTCGCATGTATTTCCCGGCGATTGTATCAAAAAGTGGTTGAGGACTAGTCATTATTGCCCGCTTTGTCGATTCGAGATGCCGACTAATTAATCAGAGTTAGATACATGATTTAATCCTATATATACAATTTTTAAAAAAAAAAATTTGTAATTTTTTTAAGTTTTTTACAATTTATTTTATTTTATTTATTTATTATATATAGAGATAATACAATAATAATTAAATAAAAATATTCAAAAGAAAAATCAAACGTAACCGGAGTTGGCGGATTTCATGTAAATTTCGTTCCGACTTGCACCCGAGAAAATAACTATTACCTTATATGACTATAATAACCAATGGAATATCCTTTGATTTTATTTTTTAATTTTTTTGTGAATAGGCTTATAATGAAAGTAAAGGGGTCATGTGCACAAAATTCAAACCATAGGGGTTAATTGCAAAGTGCTACATTTCACGGATGCAAAGTAGAACTAAGACATTTATAATTTAAAGAATTTTTAATTACATCAGCAGACAATAATTAAGTAATAATGTAATAAATTTATGGTAACTAGACAGACAAAAAATAAATAAAAAAGGAAAACTCTGAATTATCAATTAATTATGGTAACAAAGGACACCTAATTAATCTAAATTCTAAAACACGTTTACCTTGGCCACCAAGAGACTAATTAATATTTATATATATATATAATCAACAACGTTAAAAACTCCATCTTAAAAATCTCTCTTGAAACCCTAATCTCAGAAATATTTATTTAATTAATTATAATTCGACCATGGATAGCAGTAATTCGGAATACCATCCATCCTTCACCTGCAAATTGACGAAACACGAATTCATGGTCGAAAACCCCGTCGTCACCGGCGATATCGACTTCCACTTTTCTTTTCACGTGGAATTTTCGGATTGGATATTCCGGCAAGATTCGGAGATGCCGCAGTTTGTCCGACAACTCAGCCACCCTGTAATCAATCACGTTGTTCGCGTGAGGCGCGGGAATTTATTTTCAGAAAAGACGAAAAGATCCGTCGAGGAAGAGCTCAAGGACCGGTTCCGTGTCGAAGAAGTTGACCGTATTCGAGGGTTGGTCGATTATGCGTGGGGCGAGGCCAATAAAATCGTCATGTCGAATCTTTCGTGCTTCAGTCGTCTCAATCTCGAGATTGATGTTTTGTTGGAACACCGAGTTGTTTTTCTCGAGGAAGTTATTAGCAGTAGTGTTCGTTTGATTCCGGCGGCCGATTCGTCGATCGAGGGGCTGAAGACGGTGGACGTTGTTGAAGATCGTTCTCGCCGGAATATTCTTTTTACGGGATGTTGCTCGATTTGCTTGGAAGACTTTTCCGGCGGCGGCGATTGTGAAGAAGAGTTATTGTTGTTATCGATGCCGTGTTCGCATATTTTTCACGGCGATTGTATCAAGACGTGGCTGAGGACTAGCCATTATTGCCCGCTTTGCAGATTCGAGATGCCGACGAGTTCGATATAGATCAAGAATGTTCGATATAGATCAAGAATGACGTATTAATTGAAATATTTTATAATTGAAAATTTTAACTTTTGTGGGTGTAATTATTGTATAAACTATATACTTTAATTTGTTTTATCTATATAATTTTAATTTCGGGCACTCTAATTTTGCTCCCGTGTGTTTAAAATTCAAAAAACTCCTGAGTTATATCAAAATTGTACACAATAATACTTTCAGACTTATTAAATAAATTTTGTTTTTTTTAAATTAGACTTAATTTTACTGACTATATACGCTACGATGTTATAATGATTTTTTTTTTAATTTGCCCTAATGAATATGCTACGATGATTATATAGTTATTTTTTTTTTTTGATAATTAATTATATAGTTATTTCATATTTGTAATTATAGTCCTTTATATTAGTTTTTATAATATAGTTATTATTATATAATATTTTTATTTTGTAAACAAAATTGAAAAGTTTATCCTTAAATGTATGATAAATTTTCGATCCATATTAATATTTTATCCATTTTAGTCTATTTGCTTACTATTTTTGGGGATAACAACACATTAATAATTCATCTTATCTGATTATCTATCCTTTAAATATTAATTAGACAATCTTGTATTTCATTCTATAATCCAAGACTTTTTCCTAAAATTAATTTTGATATTTTGCTTTTTGAATTCTCTCTCTCTCTCTCTCTCTCTCTCTCTCTCTCTCTATATATATATATATATATATATATATATATATATATATATATATATATATATACAATATGATCTATATTCTATGGTACATTCGATGAATTTCACTAAATTATATATATCTTTTGTATCATACACGTGTCTAGCATAGTAAAAGACCAATAAATACACACAATCAATACTCTTTCAGACACACACACAAACACACAAAACCCTAAGACACAATCATATATACTAAGACACACACACACACCGACACACACACAAAAGACACTCACCCCTGAATACACACACACACACACTAAAAAAGAACCCTAGGAATTCGGCATCCAAATCCTTCCATTACACAAAAATGGCCGGAAACTCAAAAAATGAAGAAGTATAGACAAAATTCCAAGACATTACTCTATTTCTTGATTTAATTCCTTCAAAATGAATTGGGTCCTTTTTTTTTCTTAAATTCTGATTTTTGTTAGATGGGTTTTTCTTAATTGATTCTCTGATTTGCAGCAGAGTGATTTTGGCAGAAACTTAACATCTGAGCACAACTCCGATTTCCTGCCGGTGGAAGATTCCAACAAGGTTCTATCGCCGGAGCCGATCTCATTTGCTCCTCCGGCAACTTTAATGCAATCTCAGGTACCACATTCTTTATTTAATTGAGTGTTTAATTAGGATAAATCTTTTACATTTTTGTGTACATTCATACATATGTTTCCATCTCTAGGGTTTCAGTTTGTGATTTTTTTGTTTTTACTTTTTCTAGTTATAAGGATCGGGAAAAAGGGAAAACATTCGAAGATAACATAAAAATCGTTCGTTGTTGTCTGAGATTGGTGTTGAATTCTGATTCCTTTCCGGCATAAGTACTAGAAATAAGTCTAGAGTCCCATTTTCGTCGTTCTAATAAAAAGAAACAACATAATTTCAAGTATGAGCAAAAAAACCCTAAAAGTATATGTGTTTGAAATATTTTCCCGTTATAGCATGTGTTTGAAATCTAGTACGAAAACCTAAGGAAACCTAAACGTGGCCTTCACGCAACGAATTTATCAACTTTTTTAAATAAAAATGTAGTTTGATTTCGATCGTACCGGAAGCGATGCAGTAATTAACGACAAACATAAAGTCTTTCCTCTTATAAAAAAATAATAAGTAACTAACCTGATTTAAAGAAAATTAAATGCAACACACTTTTACCAATTAAAATCTTTTCTATGATGAATAATATGTAAGTTATTGGTCTCGATGACCCTCGTATAATAAGTAATTTTATATTTCCTTATGACGATATCCTAAGCATAAATTGAAATTGTGTAAAATTGTCATATATATATATATATATATATATATATATATATATATATATATATATATATATATATATATATATATATATAATGTATTTAAAAAGGTATATATGTTGGAAATATTTCGAAATGCAAACATGCAACTTTGAAATTAATATTTGTTGACGTTGTCATAAAAGGATTTTATATGAGTTTGTTATAGATTTGACGCAAGGAAATGTACATTGGTTCTGTATTCATTGATCAATTACTCGATCGATCAATATGCTGGTTATTTATGTCTAAATGAAAATCTAAATAAAAATTAGATTACTACATCGTACCCCTTCGAAGTGTAACGAACCTAACTCGATCTATTGCGTCTAAAAACAGGTGTCCTTTCTTCTAATTTATTAGTGCTTTGTTACATTTTTTTTTTGGTTTTCTTCACCATCTTTTTTTTTTTTTTTTTGCCTCTCTTTATCGATATACTTTTTTGCCTCTCATTTATGTATATATGAACAATAATAATAATTTTAAATGTACGCGCAATTCTGTAAATAGTGAAGTTATATATTTCATGAGATATCGTAACAAAATTGTTATGCGATTTTCAAGGAATTGCTTTTCGAATTTTAGTTTCTATATCATCTAAAAATATTCGTATGCAATTTTTCTTTTTTTTATAGAAAAGATGGATATATGGTTTTAGCTTTATTTACATAACCATTATCGTTGCTCGTGTAGGATCAAGCTGAATCGAGCACTAGACAGTCGTCTCTCGAAAAGAAACGAAGAGAAAGGTGTGTAGTCGAGGGAGTTTGGAATGTCTCGTTTCGACTTTTCCAACATCGAGAAGACGGACATTACATTCTAGAAATGCAAAAGGTATGTGCATTGGATATTTGTAACTATTGTGTATATATTAATTAATTCATTGTTGTCATCTTCATTATTTTCATTAATCATCATCTTTAAAAAGTAATTTTTCAAGATTGAATCATAAGTTTTGAAGCGTAGGGGCTACATTTTTTAAATAAACAATTATGGTTTGGTTACTCTATATATGATTTATATTGAATAAAATAATTTAAACAGAAACTATACGTAATTTTTTTCTCTCAAGTCACAAATTTTGGAAAAATATTATTACTTTACTTACATAAAAATGTGAGTAGAAAGTAATTTTATGTGCACATAAAATCCACCAAATAAACCCTATATATATATATATATATATATATATATATATATATATATATATATATATATATAAAAGATTTCTAAATATTGTCATAAGTCTCGTTCTTGAACAATATCCTAGTCAGATTTTTATTATAACTCAGCTATGATATATATATTAAACATTCTTAACTTAGATTAGCTATGTTTTTAAACAATTTTTATCTCACTAATTAGTTATATCCTAGAAATTTTTTTATTGTAATAGAATATACATGAAGAACATTTACAAGGTTAATAGCACATACAAGTTGAACAATATCGTAAGAATTTCTATATATGAAAATTATTATGTAAAATTAAGATTTTCTCGAACTACATTTGAATGAACTCAAAAATTATTACCATATAAGAGACTATTGTTACTATTCCCACAATTATTGCGCTAAGACAACACATAAAATGTGCAACTCATGCCCATATATGTAACAATACATATGTACGCCTCTACTCATCATTTATTTTTTATAAGTTACTTTTAATCTCATATACCTAGTAAATACAAACACAACTATGTAGACTGCATATTTTTTAAAGACTTGTTTTGATTGACTTTCCTAACAAATGTAACACAGAATGAAACAAGTGAAACGAATATGTATCACTTATTTCCTTCCCGACAAGAAGAAAGGTCGGCGTTAAGAGTGAAAATGATTCAAATCCAACAACACGACGTATTGATTCCTCTTGACGAAATATCAAATCCACTAGTTCAACCGAAGTACAACATATCTTTGCAAGAACGGTTGGAGGGTTGGGTAGTGCAAGAGAGAAAACGAAATGGTTCGAAAGCCAGTGATAAGGTATATATCACACAATTTTGTTAACATATTTTAAATATTTTAAATGCATGTCATACTAATATTTTTTTTGCCAAAAACATTGTGTAACAGTATTATATTCATGACAAAGTTAGTGGCAACTTTCGCTCGTTGAAGGAGGTTGCACTTTTTATCCTGTATAGTTGTAGGAGGGAAGATCTCGTACGACTTGAAATGGTAAATACCTTAATTAATTATTTAGTTACTTATTTACCTCTCAAATTGTGTTCATAATTTATGCATTTTAGTGCTCATTTAAAGGAATTATATGCTTTTTTTTAGGAGGCGATTGCAAATGCAGAAATTGTAACATCATTTCTTCGTGAATCGTATTCAAACTACTATGAATCTCATGGCGGTGTTACAACTGAAAGTCATACAAACAATGACATTTCTAGTGAAGAAGAAAATACAATAGAAGGTATGTGACATATGTTTCCAGTTTTAACGATAATGCTCATTTTTTATCAGCAAAATCAAGCCCATTTATCTCGATTGAATGCTCTTAATTTTGAACAGACGATCCAACAGAGAATATGGGCGAAGAAGATACTGAGATGGATAGTGACGATTTCAGTATATTTTCTTATGCTTATGACAACCCAATCACCAAATTGTAGCTCGATGTATATATTTCGTTTAATTTGTTGTATAATTTTCTAGATACAACTTTTTATTACGATTATCACATCTTACTATAATATAATATCAAGTTGCAAATATAACTTATTGAGGAATAATTGGTCTAGATTAATATTTTTTTGATCATTTTTATTATTATTTTGAAATATTATTATCAAGTGCACATCATAGTTGATTACATATAACTAAATTATTTTCTATGATAAGTTAGATCGATTTAGTATTTCACATAAATTGCACTATTCATTCACTCGGTTAACATTTTGTATCATTTATCCATATTGCGAATAAATCATTTTATTCATCTAAATCCTATCCCAACACTATAATAAATGACTCCAATTTATATATAGTAAAATATCAAATGCATTTCTATATAAATATGACCAAATATTACATTTGACGAACCAAAAATTAATTACAACACACTCCCCTTGATTTTCTTTTTGTGACAATGGCATCCCTATCTCAATTCTTGAATCATGCTTTCACCATCACCATGGCCTTCTTCTCCATCCTACTACTTGAGCTAGCCATATTCATCTTGGGCCCGGCCCGAACCACCACTACCACGACCACCGAAAAATTCCTCAAAATCGTCGATCAGAAAGTTCCGGCCAGTCGGTACACGATCACCGGAGTCGAACCAACGGAGTGTAGGGTGTGCTTGTCGGTTTATGAAGAAGGAGATGAAGTTCGGAAATTGAAGTGTAAGCACACGTTCCATAAGGACTGTCTCGACACGTGGCTGCAGCACCACTCTGCCACCTGTCCGTTGTGCCGCCGGGTCGTCCTGCCGGAGGAGGTGGTGGTGAAGCACCGGGACCGCCGTCAGTGGGAGTACTATGATGAGAGTGATGAGGAGCTAATATTATTACGTTATTTTTGTACACGTGGAATATGGTAATTTTTTATTTTTTTTTTATTTAATTGTGATATTTTAATTGTGTGTGTATTATATTGTGCAATTGTACATATATTAGTCGTGTAAGTATAATTTGTTTCGAAAAAATTCAGGAAAAAAACAACAATCGGAATTTCAGAAATTATAACGGAAAAACTTCTTCCAAAATCGTAAAATTTCGGATCAGAATCGGGAAAATTTCAAATTTCTGTTCTTAGTCATTTATAATATAAAATACATAATAATGTTAACGGAATTTACAACAAATGAAAAAGATATCCTTAACTATATAAATTTGTGACAAAGACTATAATTGAATTTTTCCTATTTTAATTTTTTTGTCGGCACAATCTCTCCCAAAATCATATTGTTCATCACCCATTTGCCAACTTGTATTAGTATATGCTCATATTTTTTTCAAAATTAAAATTAATTGTTAATCGGACATAAAAACAATATGTTGTACGTGTATATAAGGGCCAATTTTATATTCTTATGCAATTTTATATTATGTTGTGAAATAAATATTTGCTCTTTCCTTTTATTAAACTCGACGAAACAAATTATTTCTACGTTTAAGGTTGATTTGATCATAATAAAACTTATTTCCTTTTGCCCCTACAACGGTTTGTTGTGTATTAGACCCGATAAATTTTCTATCGTCATATTATGCATATGTATATCACAGTTGTTCAGAAAACAACTAAACATGAGAGTTATATGAATTTGAAATCCCATAATCAAATGATTGAGATTTAAAATCAATCTATCAAATCATTTCATCCAAATACAACCTTATATTTCTTATTATTGGAAAACTGAAAATATCTAACTTAATATCATTATACAGGGTTTGTAGATGCTACACCCGATCAAATACATCAAATGATTATTGACCATTGATTTACACATAATAACACACGCATTATTTGTAAATCTATGTAGATTTACAGTGTACAATCATTCAATGTTTTTAATCGAGTGTAGCATCTCAACGAAAGAATGAGATATGCAATTACTAAGGTAATATCTACTACCTAATAAAAATAAAAAAATAAAAATCAACCCACTAGCAATTTGACTTACTATTGGCCTCAACTCAAATTTGTCGTACAATTAATACATATAAAAAAAATCTAGCAAGTAGACTACTTGCCAAGAAAGAAAAAAAAGAAAAATTCAAGTAGTGGAATTTATTGTGAGCATTTAATTAGTTCATATAGTCTTGCAGAAAATTATTTGACTTTGAAATATTCAAATGTATGAATAGAAATGACATGGATAGTTTATCCAATAGCGTTGACCTAGTCACCTCTTGTCTCATCCTGTTTTTTTTTCTTTTTTTCCTCCTTTTTTTTCACAATTAATTTTTTTTGGTAACGAAGAAATCTGCGTCCAATTATATAGGTGCATTGTTGACACCTATATATTTATGTATTGAACGCAATTAATATTTAAAGTATATGGATGGTTGGAAATTTGAAATTATGAGTGAACATGGCACACACACTCTCTCTCTCTCTCTCTCTCTCACACACACACATATATATGAATTGATTGATCTAAGATATTTGCATTATTTCGTAAAAATATATCAATTTTTTTGGATTATATTATATCACTTGTCTTGATAATGGTGGGAAACACATATGTAGGGGTGGGAACGAGCCGAGCTCGGCTCTTTTGGCCAGCTCGAGCTCGAGCTCGAGTCCATGTTGCCGAGCTCGAGCTCATCGAGCCAATTTTTTTTGGCTCGAGCTCGAGCTTATTTAATTTTTTTTTTTATATTTTTTTTTATTATTATTTTTTTTTTTATTAAAATCATTTTATTTTTTATAAAAAATTATTCATAGGAAAATAAAAAAAAAATATAAAGTAAATAATGAACTCTAGTTATATATATTTTTATTTTTTCTATTATTATTATTATTATAATATTTTATATTATTATGAATTATTTAAGTAATATAGATTTGTTTCTATTTAAATACTAGATATATTTATTATTATAGACTATTTACAATTTAGTTAATAATAATAATAATAATAAGAATAATATATATATAAAGAAAAGAAAAAAAAAAAAAAAAAGAAGGCAGCTCGCGAGCCGGCTCGCGAGCTGCGGCTCGCGAGCTGCCGAACAACTAATTTTGGGCTCGAGCTCGAGCTCGTCCGAAGCTCGAGCTCGAGCTCGAAAAATCCAAGCTCGAGTTCGAGCTTTTTTCGAGCTGGCTCGTCGAGTTCGCGAGCCGGCTCGGCCCCTTTGCCACCCCTACATGACATATGTATCAACAGTTGTGCTAAATATTACAAACGCATTTATACTTAATAATCCGGACTGTTTTGCCCTTAGTGATAAATGAATGGTGAGCCCAATAGGAATGAGGCCCAAGTCCTAAAAAGGAGGGCCCAAAAGCTCAAGACTAGGGAGGGGGGCTAATTATAAACGTTGGTATAACGGGCCAGTGGCAAGCGAGATACACAAAGGGAAGTCGCGCACAAGATAAGATCACGTCATTGTGGCGAGGTGATTCTGTATCTCGGTAAGTCAGCGTACTTTCCTCGGTCTTCAGAGACGAAAAGTACGAGGACAGTTATGAAGAGAAAGGGACATGTGGCAGACTTATACCAGCAGATGGGTAGAGAAAAGAACCGGTGGCTTATTATATATACAGAAAGGTGTGTGTGAAGAAGAAGAGAAGCTTTGTAAGCTTCATTAATGTTTTATTAGGAATTTGTTGGTACTAATCAAAAACGTTCTTGATATCCCACTACGTTAAGCACGCTTTTAAGTATTAAATAAAATTTAAATCTCAATCCATCTGCAATGGGCCGTCGTATTGTTTCTTGTTCCATTTACCGAAGTCGGGCCGGGCCTTAATGGCCAATGTTAGTAGCCCATATTCCTAATTTTATGTTTCGTCTTCATATCCATTATTGGGCAAATTACGGTCAAACCCCTAAGGTAATATCAAATTATGAGAAAACATGTTTTGTTTGGGTAATTACAACCAATAAACATAGTTCAACTATATATCGTCTTATAAATAATTACTCTCGTTCAGTAGGTAAATTTGACACTGCAACTGTAAACTTATAAGACAATACATAATTGAAGGGAGGCGGTTGCAATTACCCAACCAAGAGTGATATTTTCGTAATTTGACCATGTGGTCGCAATTTGCCATAATTCTTTTACTATAATTCAAAATAAATTGTGGTTCTTTTAAGATATAATTAAGAAACACTGCGGTAAATTGGAATAACTAATAACCTCGAGCACTACAGATTTTAACACATTCTTCGTGCCAATTATTTGACTTATTTTTCATTTTCCATAAACAATGTAAGGGTAAATTACAACCACCTCCTTTGAATAAAGTGTAAATACAAAAAGAACTCCTTATTTTTTTTAGAAATTACATTCAGCCTCCTGCAATTTATAAATTTCTTCCATCCATCCCCTACTACAGAAGAGTATTAATAAGTTAATGTAAGAAAATCTACAAAATGCAGGGGGTGGATGTAGTTATGGAAACATTAAGGTTTTTTTCGTAAATAAACCATACCTCTGCGAGGCGGTAGTAATTTACCCAACCCAAAAAAAAAAAAAAAAAAAAAAAAAAAACCAGAGTGATCAAATTATATTGAATAATAATTAGGGAATAATTCATTTACAGCTTCCAAAGACAGAAACAAGAAAAAACATATATACATACGCATATACATACATACAGGGGCTAATTAATTAATTAATCAAGCAGAAAAGAAACAATTACTAGCAGCAAGGCTCATCTGTGATTTAGGTTCTTCCGCCAAACCCAAAATTCCCGCCATTTTCTTCTGGTAATAATCATCATTCGCAATTATTACAAGCTTCTCTCTGATCCATGAAGAAGAAGAAGAAGAAGAAGAATCCTTAAATCTCTGCCCTAAAAACCCAACACAAGAAAGAAATTCAATCTCTTCTCCATTCTTTCTCGAGTCTTTCACCCTCCTCTCGTACTCTTCCGCCACCAGTATTGCTATATCCGCCATTTTCAACAAACTCTCTCTCTCTCTCTAAAACCAGCTCTTTCTCTCTCCTCTTTTGAATTTTGAATTTTATTTTAATTTCTGGGTTTTTTGGGTGGGTATTTAAAGGGGGAACAGAAATGGATAAGATCGCCAGGTGCTGATTGATAGTACAAGGTTTTTTTTTTTTTTTTTTTAATGGGAATATACTTTTCTGTGGGAAAATCAATACTGCCGACCATGATGAAACGATTATTTTTTTTAATTTATTTAAATAATAGTAGTTTAGTTAATTAAATAACTAAAGTTGGTTTAATATATGTAGAATATAGGAGCCTATTGTTTGGGGGGATTTTTTTAATTTTTTTTAAATTGTTTAAAGTTTGTTGTCCAAGTTTCAATAGTAAGGACAAGTTCCAATTCAAGATTATCCATCGTTGAAATTTTGTATGTACCCGTTACAATCGGCCATGAGGTATGGTAAAATTACAACAAACCCCCTCCTATTTGAGTAATTATAACTGTAAATTTTCTTACACGTCCACTTTTACGGTATCAAATTTAGTGGGATATTCTAGATTATATGAAGTATTCTTAATTTTGTACCTATTTTATTCCATTCGAACTCCACATTTTGAAGCAAGATGATCATAAGATGTGTTTTTTGGCTTGTATATATCAGATTGTGGTGCATCAGAAACTGTATTTTTGCACACAACGAATACAATTTAGAAAACATTTCACGAAATCTAGATGATTATGTTGAATTTGATACTATAAGGGTGGAGGTGTAAGAAGATTCATAGTTGAGGGGGTAGATGTAATTATTCAAACATGAGGGTTTTTTCGTAATTTGATCATACCTCAGGAGGTTGTTGTAATTTACCCTCATAATTAAGAACTCAAACTCGGTCCCGCAAGGGATGGCCCAACAGATGGATCAAGTGAGTCAGCGCTAATTGACTCGGGTTCGAATTTCCTCGTCAACGGTTAATAAGTACTGGAGCTTATCACACATGGTTAATCTAGTGTGATTTACGTCTTTCGTATAATTTACAAGTTATTATACGAGAATGTATGTTTACCCAATGCACCTATTCGCGTATACTTATACTTTAAATCTTTTGTGTGGACTATTTCTAATATTTATGGAATTACCTCGAAATCTTCCCCAATTTGCAGGATTTATATTAATAGTTACTTAAGTCTTCGTTTTTAAATAAATGAAACTTGGGTTTGTTTAGGTGCACCACTAAATACTAATTGGAGGTATAAGGTCAATAAATATGACCTTATAATACTATTTCAAGAAAATTGCAACCATATTGAGATTTCTTTTATAATGCCAACAATGAGGATTGATAAAAGTCAAATAATTCAAATGGCTTATCGATTGTATGTGTCCACGTTTCCACTTAGAGAAACTTCAAGGATCTTGCCTTATAAGTTCCTAAAATATTCCTTGATAATCAAACTCAACCTACCTTTTGTTAAAATATAACATTTATTTTAATTTATGGATAAATATAGATGATAGATCTGGTTAAATATATCAGGTATATGAGATGCTACACCTGATGAAATAGACTGACTGATCTTGTATGATTGATTTTTATAAAGAACTACCCACTAAATATGCATATTCACATATATCAGATATATGTTATTATATATAAATAAATGGTGCAGAATCTCTCGATATATTTCACCAGGTATAGCATCTAAAAAAAATCAAGTCAGATATTTTTTCATTTTTGGATTTGGACACATTACACAACTTCAACTTAACTATCTTGATATCAACTTAAACTTTTCTTGAAGTAATAAATATAGATATCAATAGAAATTAAAATGAACTTCAATTAATCTTGAGTTTTCATTACAAAATAATATTTGTCCTAAAATCTCAAATAAATGAAAAAAAAATTCAAAGTTGTGAAATGGGGTTTTGGGTGGGCCGGTGGTGGGTGGCTAGGTAATGACGTAAGCATTGACGTAAGAGGCCGGATAGGCAGTCGGTGGACGGTGGGTATGTCAAACCATGGGCGTCAAAAAGGTACAACTTATATTGGTTGTACTCTTGACTATTTCCTAGGTCAACTTTTACTTTTCAAATTTAAATTAATGTTTTTTCAAATCAATGTTTTCCCTTCTTTAAATATGGAGCAAACTTTTGAGAGTCTCTTATGAACGGGTACTTTTAAAAATGGAAATATTGGCTAAAAGTCTCTTAACAATATTTTGTACAACTAATAGTCCGTTTAGCAATTTTTGAATTTGCTAAAAGTCTCTGAAAGTAGATAGTTTGAGACAGCTTAAGTTGGAGAGTTTAGATTGAATATAAACAATTTATACTGAAAATTGAAAACTTCATTGGAGAATTTGGACTGAAAATAACATTTTTTCGATAATACTGTGGAGAAATTTAGGCGGTCAACGGCCGGGAACTAATAGGAAGAGGCGGAAGAGTGGAAGAAATACTAATTTTTGGAGCGAATGTGGTTTTTACGAAGGAGTAGTTGGAACCTGATGGATAATAATGTATTTATAGTCTAAGATGACTATTTTCTGTCTAAGCTCTTTAACTAAGCTGCCCGAGTGATTTTTAATAAAATTCGAAAATATAACCATCAAGATTTGAAAAGATATTAGTGCCTAAAAATAGGCCTAAATCCAACAAACTGATATCCTACCAAATTCATTGAATTTCAATATAATGTTTTCGAATATTAAATTAGTATAATACACCTTTCTATACCAAATCTATCTACATTAGACAAAATCACAAAATAGAGTGAAGTTGCAAAACTTATTGCACATGGTAGCACATGACTTGCAGACGAAAGTCCAAAATTCCACGTCATTTTGATAGATATATACATATTTTACACACATCCATATGTATATCCGTATAATTTTATGTAAATCAAACACGGAAAACCATCAAGTGTAATTAAGGATCAAGAACCATCGATTCTGCGCAGATTCTCAATTGTGATTAACCAACTAGTTCTATAGTTTCGTAACTCTTAACCGGCCCTTATATTCCACGGGCCGATTAAGTGGTTGGGTCAACAAACCGTTGACCCTCTTAACCGGCCCATTGACCACATACCGGATAAGTGGTTGAGTCAACACTCAACTCTAGTTATCAATTATTTCCTTTTCACAATGTACGAAACAACGATCATATCAGATGTACGGTTACTTCTTGTCGTCACAGAATATGAACATAATTGGGGGGGGGGGGAGGCATCAAGTGTATTTCTTTTACGTTGATTCCTAATTTTTACATTCGGTGCTGAAATACAGACAACCTTAAAACGTGCAGAGTCATAGAAGGCCAAGAGCTTTGAGCTGCTGAACATGCTCTGGCGGCAGAGCTGGCGGTGACCAATCAGCTTCCGTCATCTCACCATCAACATCCTCAACAACATATTCCTATGAAACACGAAATACGAAATTGAGTTCACGATACAATTTCATAATAGGTATTAAAAAAAAAAAAAAAAAAAAAAAAAGGCCAATGGCGTAGCTAAGCTATGGGGGCCATGGCCCCCTCACCACTTCCCAAAAACATGCCAAGAAAGCTATTATGATGCATTAGTTACACTTTTCTCAATTTTAACATATTTATTAAAAAAATATTAAATTATGAATAATTTATCTTTGTTCGGAAGTAAGACGAATTTTCTTTTGACACGGGATTAAAAAAAACACTATATATACTAAATATAACAACTTACTTTCGTAAGCATTCTTTTTGCAAGAATGTGATAGTGCCGTTGCCAAATCCTTTGACCAACCATTGTAGCCACCAAAACGCTATAGAATATTCCAATAACCGTAAATAAACCGAGCACTATTATAGCCACTATAAATAAAAGCGGCAATCCAGCTTCACCGGCACCTCCCAAGCAACCACATTCGCCAATTGTACTTGCACAACCTTCGAAGCACGTGGTACAATCAGTCCACATGCAAAGCGTGCCTGGCAAATGGCAATCGGCACATATACTGCAAGTATGAAAAAAATAAACGAGAGTCATATTTATGGGGAAATATTCTCGTTCATTTATGTTATTAATAAAGGATAGAATAATCAACAAAAAAAAAAAAAAAAAAAAAAAGAAGATTATTATTTACCCGGGATGACAACAACAAACGCATAATTCTCGACATGGTTGAGCTAGATCGTTGCGCACTCGTCTGTCGTAACAAGTTATAAAGCATCCAGATAAACCCAGTAAAGCAAAAAATAGTAACGCCCCTGCAAAAAAAAAAATCAATTTGAATGTTTTAATACATCAACAACAACTTCTGCTCGTCAATTAATAAGTTGTGGTTATTGCATAATTTACAGCTAATGATTTAATTTCGCAGCGGTTATGAATCATTCTCTGTAGGTTCTTATTTTCGATTTCCGCAAGGTAAACTAATAAAATCTAACATGATACTTCTTGAAGTTGAACGATAATTCTTAGATTAAGAATATATACTTCGACTTCAACTATATAGAGTCAACATATTTTCACCACTAATGCAACTTTTTTTTCACATAAAATCTAGGGCAAATTACGGCCAACCCCCTAAGGTAAGGTCAAATAC